GATTGCACTGCAAAAATTGACATTCTACTTGGGTTGCTGAGGACAAAGGAGAGAAAGAGGTTCGACGTTGAGGATATTATGGAGAAACAGGGCTGCTGCCATTCTGAAGTCATCATCATAAGCTCTCCTGGCCAAGATTTTCTTTCCTACCCCCTTCTCAATGAAGTTCTGGATCAGATTTCCTTATATTGCTATTTCTTTTTTTTTCTAGCTAAAAACTGCTGGGAGAAAATGAGGGCGATGGGAGCGGAGGAGGAAGAGATGTTGGAGACATCCTGCACAAGGTATGATGAGTATGTCACGTGATGAGTATGTCACGTGATGAGTATGTCACGTGATGAGTATGTCACGTGATGAGTATGTCACATGATGAGTATGTCACGTGATGAGTATGTCACATGATGAGTATGTCACGTGAATATGCGCGGGGGATGGATCCCGATTGATCAAGTTCTGTCAGAAACATAGCCGATTTGGATGGATGATCTCTTCAATTCTGAATTTCCATCCATGTTGGTTTTTTTTTTCGTGCGTTGTGCAGGAGGACAAGGTTTTGCGAAACAAGACCTCCACATCGCAAATGCTCCGAAATGTTTCAGGTGTCCAGGAAAATTATTTAACCTAGCATGATCCAGTTTCAATAAATGGAAGTCGTTATTCCAAGAACGTTGATTAGGATCGGCAAATTCTTATGGCAATCGGCTCAACTACGCCTATTCCCTTTCTTGAATCCCTTTCCGTCATTAAATTCAACCTCTTTGTATTTCTCTCAAATACGCTCTCAATGCGGCTCGCGGCCCACCTGCGTACACAGAGGGAAAAAAGGTATCAGGCTCGATGTAAACAATCCATATTCATATACATAAGAGGCTAGTCTGTGTCATTCCTATTAGGCGGAAACTCCTATTAGGCGGATGAACGGATTTTAATGTTTGAGGTGTCAATCGAAAGCTCATGACCTGGAGGCGATACTCATTGGGTCAAAAGTCCAAAAAGTACGCTGCGAACGTGGTTTCTACGGGTTCTCCTGTCTGTCTGCGCGTCGGAGGCCTGCACGGGTTCACTTTTCCGAGTTGAACCTCGATCGGCCCGAATGGAATCGTGGCCCGCACCCGACCCGGAACGCAATCGTCGACCGAGCTTTGCTGCTCCGACCCGTGAATCGTGTCGAACTGACACGGACGGCCCGCAGCCCGATTAGGCCTCTTGGCATGAGAACGCCAAGTCTCTGATGACGCATTTGCCTCAAGGAGGGACCGAGGGACCCTCGCAGATCTGCGCAGAAACGCATTTTCGGGTGGGACGGTTCAGAGTAATTGGCATGCCGTGGAAGAAGATATGGGCGAAGGTGCTTTTGGCATGGGAAACGGCGCAATACGGTTATATCAGGGAGTATTAGTGGGTTAGGCCTAACTTTACTGAGTTCCGGAGAGGGTCGAGGAAAGGGGAAAAGGCTTTGAAAAATGATTTTCACAAATGTTCACTTTCTCAGGGGTTTTGCGAGTTTGGCCCAATGGTCCTTCAGCAAAGCGTCCACAAATACGCAGGTCCATATTTGTGAAGGGCGAATAATTTTCGCAGTGGAAGTTTGAAAAAAAAAAAACTCCGCATGAATCGTTGCACGTGAGCGCTCATAGTCTCCGCTCTTAAATGCGACGCACAGCCAACAAAGGCCTCCTGCTGTGTTTTCCCGTGGGACGAGCGAATGCATTTGAGGAAGTCGCTGCTCAGCTGACGCCGAGGATGAAATGGTCTTCCGTGACTTCTGTGAGCCATTATTTTAAGTAAAATCTGCATCGTGCAGCGTTTCTTGGAGTAGCAGATGACTCGATCGAGGAAGTCAATCGCGTAAGGGGATTGAGCATCCGGGAATGCTGTTTTTTTTTTTTTTTTTTTTTACAAGTTCCTCTGATTTTTTGCCTGGTGTTGTCTCGTTGCTTTATGAGACACTGTTGAAACTTGGGGGGATAAAACTATCCTTTCCGGCCGCGCCTGCGTCAAATACGAAGCTCATACGATAGCTCCAAATATCGACGCTTCTAATCCTAGATCCCTCCTCTTTTGAAAACACTAGATGTGTCTCTTAATGGGAGAAGAAAATCCTGTCATTCTCAAAAGGAATTCAAATGTTGAAATGAGGTCTTGAAGGAGACTCGGACGCGTGAAACGCAGGTGTTACGAGATGGCAATACAAGAGGAAATGGGGGCCTGAAACATTTCAGCATAGCATTTGTATGTTGTATGTGCATAATGTTGCATGTGCATAATATTATTGTGCAGCTACGTTAATAAGGTCGCGTATTTGCCACATATTGAGAGAGAAGCGCTCCACTCCCAAATTCATCATGAAATTAAAGCAGTTGATGTTTCTTGCAGCGTTAGAGAGTCCATAAATGGTTTCAAAAAGGTCGAACATGCTGTTAGAGAATATGAACGATTTGATCAGGCTGAACGTGCTGTTGATGCAAGTCGGCTATGTGGGTTGAGTTCATCAGAGAGCACTGCCGTCTTTCTGTCCGTTTCCTGGCCTTTCTATTCAACATTAGCGCCATATTCTGCAATCAATTTCCTGGTTGATTTATAACGGTCTCTTTATGATAAATGTACGTTTAAAATTTGATTGCAGCTCTGCTCTTCCAACGTACAACTCGGAAGCTCATGCGCCATCATATTAACGCAGCTTCACACCATATTGAGCACAGTTGTTTTGCGAATGCTGTCCCTACACTCTTAGAAAAGAGTGAGCGATTTCCGAGAAAGGGAGCGAAACCGGAGTTAGCGATTTTACTCCCTAAAAGCAAGGAAATAATGCCACTCACCTCTCTTTCCTGAGAATAACCACTAACATTTTCTACTAGTTTGAAAAGTACTTTCCCTTCTTCGTTTCGCGCTCTTAAAAAAAAGTTATGGACTATGTTGTTCATATAAAGGAGTAGTTATCGATTTTACTTCCTCATTTTCAGGGAGCAAAATCGCTAACTCCTGTTTCGCTCCCTTTCTCGGAAATCGCTCACTCTTCTCTGAGAGTGTAGAAGTAGCTGTCCTCATATAACTCTGTGTCGCATCTCTGTGTGCCGAGTGTGCAACCTTTGTAATCGTTTCATCATCGCTGGTTTCTTCGTCAATTCGGACGAAGAAACCCAAGTTTGATTGTCATGCAGCTTGTGCATTGGAGCGACTAGGTCGAACCAGCGTCGAACTCTAAAGAAATGACGTTCAAACAACCGTTTAGAATGAGGAAACAATTGCCGGATGAGATTTCCGGTTTGCCATCTCTCATCGATGACACGTCTTATTTACAGAGAGGGCCGGAGATAACCCTCACACTTCATCATGCAACTCGTCCTAGCTCTCCGAAATGTTTGCACACTTGAGAACCCTGCCGACAGGGTAAAAAGGTTGATCCACTTATATCATAAGTGGTTGTGGTCCTTTTTTTTCCTCGCCGCAAGGTTTTCTTACGGGCACATATTTGCACAGTCTTTGAGAGAAGTGCGAATCAATCGACCTGGAATTAAAAAGACCTGATCTAGGTTCACCGCAGTTCATTTTCCGTGCTGAAGTCGTTGGGAGAGGGGCCCTCTTGACAACGTGCGAACCATTTATACGAATTTCCCGAGGCAATTGCCCAAGCAGCATGTTTATACTAATTTTACGTAAACTGAATGTAAATTTTTTGTCCACTTTATTTTACGCAAACCATCATCAAGAAAATGTCGACATGCTTGCAGAAATGTCACCTCTGGAATACGTAAACGGCGATATAAAATTAACTTAAATTTTACGTAAAATAGACCTTCCCGTTTACATCCCCAACAGCATGTTTACATTCATTTTACGTAAAATTGATGTTAATTTCCCCCTAAAGTTCATGCGTGTTTAACGAGCTAACTCGTACTTCTGAAGGGAATTGATACACTGTATTTCTCCCATCCCTTTTCATACTTTGGAACACTCAAGGTCACTTGGACGAGTACACGAGTCCACAAGTACTCATCCTCAACAACACTCAAGAGTTGTTTCTTGCATGAAATTGGTGCATCAAAAACAACACAAAGGTCACTTTTCGAAATCTACAAGTTAATATCTTTCTCATGGTTAGTCTCTTTCCTTCAAAAACCACCCAGGAGTAGTTTTTTTTTTCTACCCTCCCCAGAGGGGGGGGGGAAACGGAATGAAATTCACATCTTCCAAAAGCTTGATTCAGTGTTCTTTACAACCCCGGAGAATGGAGCGTCAAATTTGCTGGAATTATTCCGTGTTGAGAGAGGGAAGAAGCATGCCAAATATCGTTCCTGTTGACGCTCTCAGAGAGGAATAGGAGGATGATGGGTTTTGCTACGGGAGGAGGTTGAAGAAAGGTATTAGGCGCTACCAAAGTGAAACCCCTTCTTAAGGAAAGAAAGTTTAGTTGCAGTAGATCAAAACGAGGGGGAAATGCAATGCATTTATATTTGAATATCTGGGAATTTGTGAGTTTACGAGATTAAGCTGTGTATCACTGAGTATCACTGTGTATCACTACCTAAGCTGTGTATCACCGAGTCGACAATGTCCTTAGATTGGATGTCGTTTGAACACCATCTGCAGTTAGATCCGTGGATGTTACTCGCCGTTCCAGATCTGGAATGCCATTCGAAAATCTAGAAATACGTAATACGTTCGCGTCCCCATCCTCCTGGAAAACGGGTAACCAAAACTATTTAATGTTCACCTTCAACCATCAACTTTCGCAAACAGAAACCACATCTAATCAATGTTGATTCAATGTTCTGTGTTGCCTGGAATGGTGCCCCACCCTCCCCTATCTGTAATGGAAATGCGGTTATGTGATGGATACATAGACTGAGTTTAATATTGGTGCTCATAGTTTTTTTTTTCGATAAGTGCAATGTGCTTTTCTCTCGAAGTTTGTCTTCGACAAACATGGATGAAACCTTTTTCCCTGCCGACAGGGTTTGCATGCACACCAAGAGCCTCGATAAAGTGTCGGGGTTATATTGAGATATAAGGTGACAGGGTCATCAGTGAGGGAGACGGCGATCCAGCGAGTCCATCTGGCCATCATGTTTCCTCGTTCTGTGTTCCTCCTGTTGTGCCATGCATGGCTCGGTTTTTCTTTGACTCTCAAGAATCACTCATTCCATGGGGTTGCAGTTGTGCTTCATTCGCAAGATGATCCCGAATTTTGGATAGAAGGTCTGAAGGTACGAACAAAGCATTTTTCAGCATGTTGTCCAATGTATTCACACCTGATGATGCTGTGAGAGTGGCTTCGTTTCCCCTTTTACAGGAAGGGTTCATGAACGCCTCCCAAGTCATCTTCAGTGCCTCAAGCCATAAGACATTCTTCGAGGAAATTGACGTCTTCGCCGACCCTTCCCTGAATGACCTTCGGGGATCACGGGAGCGAGTCCCTTTCCCTCGAGACGTTCAGATCTTCTTCACGAAGTTGAAGTGAGTCCGATCCGTCAACTTGCTAGAGGAACTCTGACCGACGGCGACCGATTCCCTGTAGCGGGGATGGAGATCGAGATGGATTGAATGCTGAGGCGGATCCCGACCCTTTCACGCCCCAAGCGGGGCAGCATTGCGCCCAGACCAATCGTCTCCCGATCGTCTATCCTACCACTTCGACTAAGATTGTTCCAAAACGCTTCGTGAGTCTCCGTGGGTATTCCGTTTTCCGGCTGAGACTTTCGTTGATGTTTCACGATGCTTTGCAGGCGAAAGAGTGGCTCAAGTATCGGTACGGGGTGTTCGACGAGCATGGCTACTACAATGATACTGATTATCCCTTGACCTTCTGTCCAGCAGAGGAAGTGAATGGCCTACCCGGCAAATACCAGCCGTTGGCCTGCACGGGGAATCCCTCCTTGGAGGGAAATTATGTGTGAGTAGAAACTGCACCGGTTGTTAAAATTCAAAGTGCATTCAATTGGCGAAGTTGGAGTTCTCGCTGATCCCGAACCATTGTCCAAGGAATGTAACCCTCGCTTCAGCAAGGTCAACAGGGATGTGTAACTTCAGGTTTACCCATTTGTTACCATGTGCTAATTTCATCAACTCCACCGGTGCAGAATGTTTCACATCAGCATTCTGATGTTGCTTTGAAACATTCTGCATCATCAAACATTTTAAACATCGTCTATAACCCCTACTCTAATACGTCTGGATCTGCTGTTCCTTTTTTTATAGTCAGACTTTTACCTTCTTAGTTTGGATCTGACAGCCTCTTAAACCTTGATAAATACTCTATTTGGAATAGCTATTAAAACTAGAGATCGACCGATATATCGATCGATCTCTTTTAATAAATTATGTGATGTAGAGAATGGCCTTTATGGATTCGGAGTGTTTCCCTTGCCCAACGAGTTCCGAAACCAAATTTCATGGATATATCTCAACTTCTTGGTCATGATTTTTTTTTTGGAGATCAAATGCCATCAGGTGAGCATAATCCCCGAGGAGAACGAAACATTTTAATAGTTTCAGTAGGCATTAGAAATATCGTGGTCGAACAGAGGAGAGTCTTTAGAACATGTTTAGGCCTACGCTCACGCCAAGTTTTAGCCTACTTTTTAGACCCTGGATAATTGGGAGGGTTAACGTAAGGCAGCAGGCGAAAAATGATAAAAGAAGGCTGTTCATTTAATTCGCGGACAGGTTCGAACAAGGACAGGAGACCCCTCTCCGTGTCCGCGAATTAAATGAATAGTCCTCGTACTTTCGGACGATCATTAGCGAAACCTAACCCTTAGGGCGAATGTCTATCGTTTTAGCCGTTGAAGTTTCCGTAGCTGTGAATACGCCCATCTTCTATGTACAAGAATAAGAACGGAAGCGGAGCGAAAGACTTGCAGTCCCTCGCCTCTCGATGATGCGTTATTGGCCAGAACACTCATACGAGAGATCGACCGATATATCGGTCGATCTTTAATTAAAACAAAATACATCAATTACATTATGTGTTGCTGTTTATTCATACCGGAGCACAGCGTTGAGCACTAACGAATCAATATTTGAAAAATGTTGTTTTACAAAGGGGAAATGTTTTCAGATAATTCAACCTTCAAATGAATTGGAAATTGTGCATTTCCAATGTTCAGTTTCAATTTATTTTTATTTCGAATAAGAAATTTTGATTTTAAATAAAGAAAATTGCTAAGGCATCTTAAATTTAACTCTAAAGTTACCTGGCTATTTTAATGTTAGGTAATTTTAGAGTCGAACTTAAGGTACTGTAGCAATTTCTTTCGTTCATGAATGAAAACTTCCACGTGAACACGACCTAATCCTTTTCTATGAATTTCTTTTTTTAGCCTCGGCTACTTTTTGGAGGGTTTCACTCAATTTATTGCCAACGATTTTCAATTTATATTTAAAATGGATTTTCTGGATATTTTCCCCATCACCTACAGTTTAAAACTAGTCTACCAGAAACGTGTTTATTTGCACTGAAATTCTTCCATTGCATGAAGACATCATCGCGTAAAATCTCATTTCATTGCTTTCATTCTCTCATTCCACCTTCTCGTCGTTTTTCCACGTGAAAATGCCTGATGCCCATAATTTTAATGTCAGTAGCATTATCGAATCGTGCGAGGGAAATCCCTATGGAAAACAGCATTAACGCGATATTTTTACGCAAATCAAACACCCTGAGTACCATTTCAGTTCTCTCTTAAGTTAATTCATTCCAATGGTGTCAAATGTTCACGTGTTGGATCAATGTAGAATTGTATTCCATACCATTCTTCCATTATCAGTTTTAATCTATTTTCAAATAGGAATGTGACTGGCGGTAAATGTAAGGATTTGGAGTTCGACCCACTCCTTTGCTTTTATCAACCACTCGAACGGGAACACTCCCCCTTCTCCTTGCTGTACCTCCCGGAAAATGAACATGTACAAACTTTCTCTGCTCTCGTAGCCAAATCTGGCCTAGTTTCTCTTTATCATTCGCCTTATCCTATCCCTCGACTCTGAGTGCAGGTAGATTCGATCTGCTATGCGGAAGGAATCGAAGAGAGCCACCTACCGATCCCAGAGACGATGCACAATCGCTTCTGTGACCGCTCGAGTGTAAGCGACGTTTTGGGTCGACACCAGGACATCGTTGAAAATGCAGCACTCTCTAACGATTTTAGCATTCCTGAAATCAATTACAACTTCTTTCAACCGGTTGTTCCCACAAAATTCCTTCTCCTCGTCGATGCCTCTGCCAGCATGAACGGCGTGAGTCTCAGCTCATGAGTGCACTTGAATGTGTGCTTTTATACACCACTGCCACATTATTAATTTTTATTTATGTCACTGACTTTATCCAGTCCAAATTGGAGAGGATGAAGCAGGGAGTGAAAAAGTGGCTGGGGGAGCTGCACTCTGGCAGCGAAGTCGGCGTCATCTCCTTCAATTACGGGGCGAATGAGGTCTTCGATCTCAGGAAAGTTTCGGATTTCGCAGCGAAGGACGCCCTGTTGGAGTCCTTTCCGATCGTTGGGAGAGGGCCTTCATGCTTTGGGTGTGCCATTTCCTTAGCTCTAGAGGTAGACCTCAGATTGAATGATCCCAATCGGCTAATCATGGAAGATGTAGCGAAGTGACTCTTCCTTGCTGCTTTTGTAGGCATTGACGGACGCAGTAGATGGGCCTTGGGATGGCACATTGGTGGCCTTAACCGATGGGCACGAGAACGAACACCCTTTTGCGCAGTCTCTGGAAAGCGATCTCGTAAGAGCTAATGTTTCCTTGCATATTATCAGCTTGGATGTCTCCCCGCCGGTTGACCTCGTAGATCTCGTCTCCAGGCTTCGGGGTCAGGTATAACAGTGCCCCATAATTCGTGATAAACGGAGAACCTGGAAGCACCGACGTTAGATTTCACTCTATCACCTGTCTTAGGTCATCATAGTGCCGCAGAATGGCGAAGAAGTCGAGGACGTGGAGGACAGACTCGCCGCAGCTCTCCTAGAAACCCTGCAACTGCCGTGGCTTTGGCCTGATCCTGCGGTGAAGGTGAGACTCACTATCGATCCCTGAAGAGACGATATTCAGGTATTAGCGTTTGACAACCACGGTCCGATCAGATTTGGGAGAAGCGGCTTCTGCTGGGGAACGGCGAGAAAACATCTTGGAGTGTTTCCGTGCCCGTGGAACCTCATCCGCTCTATGAGGCGTGGCTGAGCATTCGTTGGTCGCAGTCCGTCCTGGTGAAGTCTTGCAACGCAGACGAGGGGAAGGCCTGCGACACGGACCACACTCGTCGCCTTTCCAGGATCTTCATTGCTCGAGATGGAGTCGAAGCGGTAACGTCCCCCACTTGTATGTTTCAGAACTGAATGAGGTCCCTTTTTCCTAATTCCATCATTCCCGACTTTAATTTTGTAGGGAGGTCAGGTAAAGGTGAACCTGGTACTGGAGTCAGTGGGGGGAGAAGGAGCAATCAGTGTAGCCCATATCGTCCAAAGAAATTCAAGGAACTCTGATAGAGTTCAAGTGATAGCCTGGTTTCAAGGTCGAGGCGGATGGTTTGAACACGAAGGTGCACCGAACACTGCAATTCACGCAATGTCAGTCGCATATTCTTTACATATCTCTAATCCAGGGTAGGAAATTCTAAAGAGGCATTGCAAATGTCATTCCATTCGCATGAGCGAAAATTTTCCATTATGAAAGTCTAAATCTGTAATGTGAATGGTATAGATTACGCCTATGTTTAGAAACTTGTGGTGGCGGTCAGGAGCGGTGGTAGGGTCATTTTGACTCATCACCAGAAGGACTCTGTGGTCATTAGTGAAAGAAGTACATTAATGAATTCTATGGGTCGTACAGAGTAATTGGAGACGACTGGACAGACAATGCCCCGTCGGGGATCCAGGCCAGTGCTACTGTCTATCTTCCTGGCAGAACACCAATCTCATTCCCTTTGAAGGACAATGGAATAGGTGAAGGAACGTTCGCATAATTGGGAAATACCGTACATTCTTGCTTGATTCATTCATGGCCAAAACTGAAAAAAATCTCTTGCTCAGATCCAGACTTGGATGCTGGCGACGGAATCTTTAGCAGGGATTGGCCCCAATTTGGAGACACTGGCCGCCATTACGCTTGGTTGAGGGTAGAATGGGAAGGGTCGAATCGGCCTTTCCACAAGTTCCTTGGATCCTTTTGGTCTGATGGGGACGTCAACATGAAATTTGACCAAATTCCACCCAACCGCATAACAGACTTGAAGGCTCGAAAGTTGAATGACGGAATTCTACTGAATTTCACTGCTGCAGGGAATAATGGGACTCATGGGGGCAACGGTTCGTTCCTTTACTTTCTCGCTATCGTTTCATCTCTCATTTCTCTTTGGTATATCACGTTTTTCCTTCCAGCTGCCTCTTACATAATCAAGTTTTCGAACGATTTGATGGATCTCACATCGACAAAATTCCAAAACGAGTCACTGGAGACACTTGAATTCGACTCCACGGCGACGACAGAAGGGGGCCAAGAGACTTATGAGCTCGACAAATCCATCTTAAATGACACGACCGGATACAAATATGCTGCCATTCAGGTGAATGTCCCATTCGGTTTCCATCCAACTGCTATTATCAGTCTCTTTCCAGAATTCATTTCCCTTTTTGTGTCATGATACAGGCTGTCGACCCATCATTGGGAGAGCAAATTAATCCTTCGAATATCGTCTATCTTCGATTTCCTACTTGTGAGCTTCCCAAACACGTGGAATCAATCAACTTGGCGGATAAAGATGCCCCAATTGAAGTTTGAGAGGCGGGAATATTTGAAAATTTTTTGCCAAAAAAGGAAGATAAAATCGATTTTCCTTTGGAGCATGGGCGATGTTATTTGAATGAGATGACACCGACTTGTCCAAATCACTGAAAGCAGAGAATTCCATATTATCAGCCATTGTGAATTGGAACTTGACTATTCATGAATGCCCCAATTTCGTTTTTCAGTTATTGCAAATCAACTATGTACACTTCTGGCTTGAAGCACAGAGTACTCTGAAACTCATTTTCTTTCTGGGCACTAAAATCGTCTCGGACATTGGAGCTTGGGATTAACCTAACTTTTCTTTGCTGGCGCGACAGTGAATATTTAAAAAAAAAGTGTTGCTACTGTAAAGAACTTGTTTTGAAAAACCTCTCAGATACCTTCTGCCATTACATCGATTAATGCTGTGCATTCCTGGCCGATCAACATCCTCTGTCTCTTCGAAATCTAGAAAGCTCGGATTGATTTTCGGCTGAACTATCTCCTTTCGTCCTGGCTGTGCTCTAGACAAAACATAATTTTCAAGAACCCGCAGATGCAATAACATGTTAGAAAGCTGCTTATTGGTGAGCAACAAAACCGGCTCTAAAATACACTAGCCGCGATTGAAATTGCAATACCAAAAACTAGAGAGGACCAGCCGAGGTACAGATCTCAATCTCGTCTTCTGCACAACTGTTCTGGAGGTACGCCCGGTCTGAAATCCTCAGACACAACTGTCCTGTGTAACTGTCTGGCGTGGAATCCTCTCTCCAGTGCGGCTTCGGACCCCTTTTAAAGCTGGTTCATCCCCTCGGGCTTATTTCAAGCCCATCACATCACGAAGGGAGGAAAGCCTAAAGTGATTCCCATGGGTCCCTACGTTAAACGAAACACCCAACAAGTATGGACTTCTTGATCTTGATTGAAATCTTTCGGCTAAAGCAGGGGTGCCAAACTGAAATCGGGTGGCGGGCCGGATTCCTTACCCTGCAGATGCCAGCGGGTCGCACCCAAAGACTCGTGCGTGGAGGATGATGAGATAGAGTAAAGCACCCAATGAGGGGCCTTTTAAGGGTGTATACTCAGTGATGGGCCATGGCGCAGGAAAATTCAATAATTAGGCATTTGTAGCACGAAGACCTTTACAGTGTATCAGCGCTTACTTGGCTGCTAGCCTGTTACAACAGGGGTAGGACTGTTATGGAAGCCTAGTTATCGGAATTTGTATGTACTGTGGCCCGTCGGTGGGGCCGGTCCATCACTGGGTATTTTACCCTACAATCCAGGAGAAAATTTCAAAAACAGACGGAGGGTCGGATGAACCACATCCGTGGGACGCATGCTTGACAACCCTGGGCCAAAGCATTCGCGAAAATATTGTGAAGGGAGTGATTCCAAATTGAGTCCTTGGACCGGAATGGGTTCATGGAGTATTTTGCTTAGTTGGGCAAAAAATGCCTTAATAATGCCAAGGCAAATGCATTGGGTAATCGACTCAAAGATGCACATATGGCATGCTTCAACCTAACCATTGACCACGACTTTACTAAAGTATCCCTTTAGGTATCCCTTTCGGAATGAATGTAGGGTGAGAAAATATGATCCTCAAAAGATAATGATGGGAGGGGGGAATGCATTGCCTCACTGATGCGCTTCCTCTTCCCTTTCTTCAACCCCTTCCAGTCTCAAAATTCAACCTTCTCTCATTCCTCTCTGAGAGCATCTAGACTTCATCTAGAGCAGTGGTTCCCAACCTTTTATTCCTGCGACCCTAAATTGGTCACCAACAGGACTTCCCGACCTTCAAGCTTATGATAAAATTTAAATATATACAGGGTATATAAATATCTTCATACTGAAATATGATGCATTTTGGAAATATATATATATATTTTATTCTGATGACCCTTCGCGACCCCACTGAGGACCCTCCGCGAGCCTGATTTTGGTCGCAACCCGAGGTTGGGAACCACTGATCTAGAGGAACGAAATTGGGCATGCTTCTTCCCTCCCAACATAGAATCGCTTCAGAAAATTTGAAACTCCAGCTTCCCGGGGCTGTGGAGAACACTCCTCGCGTTTTGAAAATGTCAATTTTATTCCTGTATTTCCACCCTTCACCATAGGTAGCCACTCCCGAGGGGTTTTCAGAGGAAAGGGGCCAACCGAAAGAAAGGTATTGACTGGTAGATGAAGAAGAGTGCCCTTTGTGTTGTTTGGGATTGGCCATTTCGCTATAAAAAAAAGCACATTAGCTGTCGTTTATTTTGGCTGATCTGTGGGCTCGAGTAACGCCCCTACGATTGCCAGATATCGAGCTGGAGTTATGACGGATTCATGATTGCTTCTGCTTATGTATCAGTGTACGTATCAATTTTACGCAAAAGAACCATTTTTTATGCTAAGTTCATGGGATGAGGTGAAAATGAAACAGCTGTCGATGGAGTGGTGGTCGATTGATGTGGTGGGATATGGAGAGACAGAGCGCTTCATTGCTGAATTATCAGGATGGCGTCCAGCATGTATCTGAATTATGGAGTCCACAGACATATGAGTCAAGATGGTTCCATACACTCCAGGAAGGCCTAAAGTAATGCATCCTAACAAAAATGTCTCGAAAACCCTTAAATGTGACCTAGTAGGCCTAATTGGCCCTGTAAAAAGAAGGATGGAGTTCTTTGAGTGGAAAGATAGGCCTAAGTCTGAACTAAACAGTTTGTGAGTTACGCCTGGGCGTAAGCTATGGCGAGTGTCATGGAGTGTGAAGAATGTGTGTTGAAGGGCGGAGGATGAAGAAAAGGGAAAACCCATAAATAAACAAAATAACTTTCACGCTACTTCATATACCCTCATTCAACAATGTTACAGACTAATTATCATTATTATTTATTATTTATGTAGTGGCCGTCTTGAGACTCAGTTAAATTATCTGTTATCTGTCTCATGGTTGCAACTAAGAGAAGGCATTTCCTTGTGCAAACAAATATAAATATCAGCGTCAGTGCTGCCTTATCTCAAGGGACGTGAGGATCAACGCACTCAGGGAAGCTCTCACTGACCTTCAGAACTTGTGATAACGCATTCTCTTCTGCTTATTTTCCTCATCTCAGAAAGGAATTCGCCACTATATATCAATTTGTGTTGTGCGTTCATAGGTGTCGCAATGCAGCCTTATAGAGCATGGAGCCTAATGGTCATTGTTGTCCTTAATTCGCTCAATAGCGTTGTCTCTTTTTGTGTGAATTTGAGCGAACTGGATCATGTGCTTGTGGAGGACTGCTCCCGGTGTCCATCGCATTATAGCGTTGCCGAATTTCCTGGAATTTGTGCGTGCTTCTCCGGTAAGAACGTAGGATGCGTCTGCTTGGGTGAAGACAGATGCGTCGATGCAATTCTGCCGGAAAAGGTCGTAAGAACTTATGCGGTAAAAGGTGCTCGATTACATACTCTTACTTTCTTGCACTTGCTTCCTTCGTATGATTAGGATCGGAAAGGTGTACTCGACAACCCGTGTCCTGCAACCTACAACGCAAGCTATTGCCAAAAGCCCTATTATGATGGAGTGAAAGGAAAATGCTTCTTCTTCTGCGGTCAGTGAATGCGAAATTGAAAGTCGATCATATTCCGACGCATCCAGGGGTATCTCATCTGCTCTTTCCGATCGTAGAAGATTCGGTCCCTGGCGACCCCAACACTCCTGCTGATGAACCAACTCCATGGCGTGATGACATGTACCTGCTGTGCACTGAAAATCAGACGAATATGACGGGGTATGCAGTGGGTCACATCCAATCGATGGAGCAGTACGATGGACTCGCCGAGTTTCTCACCAAGGAACTGAATATCAGCGGTTAAGTGCAATGATTCCTCATCTCTTCTACCTAAAATGGACTTCTGAAACATGAACGTAATCTGACGCTGAGTATCCTTTAGCTGTTTCTTTGGTTTGTTTTTATTGGTTTAATGAAAGAAAAACCATCCATGACCAGTAGAAATCGCCAGTCTTCATATTGAACACTGACGGAGTTGATGTTGAAGTTGGTTCCTACATAAATTTGATGAAGGACGGGTTGAATACCAATAGGGAACAAATTACCTCATTTGTGTCACTAGAGGCTTAGATCATACAGGTTTTACCAGCTGCTATTCCTAAGGAATTACCTGTATTTCATTTCTTTAGACTGTCTGCGCTCGACTGTCGAGAAGAGGAAAATTTTATTAAAATAAATGTAATAATAAGTTACTCGCGTTTTTCGAATTTACCTCTCTTCACTTGGCATTCTTCTTTCGTGTCCTCGCGACTCGGGTGCGAGAACTATCAAGGACTTTCTCGAGCCTTTCAGGACTTCTGACGTAAGCCTTTGTACGAAAGGTCACTTTTATTTTTCGACTGGTTACGATGCAACGGAGGGAAGACTTCCATAATACAGTATAACAGTGGGGAAAATTATGGATAAGTACTGGGTTGATTCTATTATTATCCGCAACAATGGTACAATGGAAAAAGTGGCAGATATTGCAATCGGTCTGTCTCTTTTTAATTTGCCATTCCCATGGGCTATGGGCAAATGGCCGATCTTGCAATCAATCTGACTTTTTTTGGTTTTCATTCGGTTCCATAGGAACCGAAAACATGACACACTGCGCATGTGCAGCTTTCGGCCTGGATCAGGGTGCCAGTTTACAACTCTAACATGCACTTCTCTTCCAGCCTTTACAGATGACGGGTCCATCGCAGATAATAGGAAATATGCGCTACTCGTGGCCGCGTAATCATGGTTGCTAGGCGTAGGCGTGAAATGTCACCTGCACCTGGGTTGTACAACTCTAGTTGTAACTTTCTTTTGGTTTCGCCAGATTTTCTTACGAAATTCATTTTTGACTTGACAATGCCTAGTTGCCATGTGAATCATTGCTAATCTGCTTCTCTCCGCAGGTGACATCTTCATGTCATCTAGGTTTTCTGTGAGGTACCACACGGAAGACCACAATAGCTACACAGGCATGAACATCTCCTGGCTCGATTGGGAAACGACATTAAACGATTCATTGTTCGAAGCATTTTTCCCGCCAGTGGAAGATCTGACGTCTTTCGACGGACTTCCTTTTATTTTTCTCGCCCTCACAAACCCCAACGATGGTACTGATGAAGTTCATTCCCCCATTTTCCTTGAAATTGTATGCCTATTGTATATGCCGACCTTTATGCTTTCACGTCCTTCCCGGGCATACGCTCTTTAGAGTGCATGGACTTCTTTATTCATTCTTGCAGGCTATGACAAGTGGAAAATGAAACAGGTGGGTGTGGACGATGCCATTTCCTGGCTCCTCTGTGAGAACAACTGTGAGTCATGCCCCATTCTGTCCAATTTCGATTCCCTGCTTTCGAAGTAATGAGCTGAAGTGAAGTCCTAGTACTTCATTCGTCCTTGTCTCTTGAGCAACCTGGAAGCACAGTCAAATTCTCGTATTTCGAAATTTCCCAAATTTCAACTGGATTTGCATCTATCAGTCTATCAGTTGCTAGAATCTATATTCTGGCCTGTAACTGCATTCTAGTTGATTCTTGTTGGGAACATTGGCAAAAATTATGAATAAAAAAGATTTTTGGGGGGATAATGAATGAGGCAAGGAGAAATGTTCCTAATAACCTGTGAACCTGATGCCCATACGGTTCCTAATTCCGTTTCTCCTTTTTTTTCCGCGCCACATGTACGAGGTATTTCAGAACATCAGCATTTTGAAGAGGTAGAATGTTTCCACAGATTGGTTATAAGGGTGTATTCTGTTAAAATTAACATTAAGAGGAAGAGTAGATTTGCTTTATTTCTCATTCTTTGGTCTGTGGGAAGCAACATTTTTCATTAAAAAAAAATATGCTGAGAATAAATAATGGAAAAAAAGCTGAAACCTTATTTGCAAGAAAGGTTAAAATACAAATGAAAAAGGAAGAATGACAGGCGATGCAATCGCAGTGAACATGAGCCATGAAAAAGAAAGAAGTAATTTTCGGACAATGACTCCTTTGGCTTTTTTGACATCTACTGATGATGATGAAAGTTTCAAGAACGTTGGCTACACCAATTGCTTCTCTGATCTTTGAATCGAGAATCAAGAATTCATGAGAACTTGAGGCAGTGGTTGAAAATATGGTACCATGATGGGAATGAGAATGATGAAAAAGAGAGAGAAGTGACCTAAATTTGGGAAATATCGTAGTCGTAGTCGATGATAATGGTTCATCTATTATTATCAAATTATTATTGCGGTATTTATCAGGTATTGCTTTCACCTGACTTGCTAGATAGTGACATTTTATCAAATGGGAGATGATACACTATCTCTATAAAGTAGTGTGAAAACGTTTTTCAATGGGTTTCCCCTCTCTCAATCCCCTCCCTCCCCTCTCAAATGGACTCACTAATGTCAGGTCTGTATTCATATGGACATACACTGTAAAAAATTTTTCCCGCCGGGAACTCCTGAGAGCACGTAATGGAACACCTGGAGGCGTTTTTTTACCATGTTAAAGTGTTCCCGATTCCCGGTATGTGCTCTCCAATGCGTTCATGTGTGCAAGGAGGTGCTCCATGAATGTGTTCTCATCTGAAGGACAAGTTTAGGAACACTTGGGGTCGGAAGGCAGGACGCCTGGGAACACTTGGGGTCGGAAGGCAGGACGCCTGGGAACACTTGGGGTGGGAAGGCAGGACACCTGGGAACACATGGCGGCAAAGGGGGACGCCTCGCTCAGATAGGTAGATTTATTACGGATTTAATAGAGACTTTCTACAAGGTTCATTCGTTCCCTAATTTTCACTGGAATCTTTCAACTTAAAAACGTTCATTATATATTGGGAATAGAGAGAAATTTTAAACATTTTCGAAAGTTGTTCGTGCTTCCACTATACTTGGGCCTAGGGCAGCAGTGGCAGGCAGTACATCATGGCGCCACATGAGCAAT